GTGCGTCCGCACGCATACACGGGCCCCCGCGAGTCGGAGGACCATCGAGATGGTTCCGGCGGCTCGTAAAAATTCTAACTGAAGCTTTTCTGTCCCATAACTGCGCCGTGCGCGGGATATCGTTTGAAGTATGCGACTACTCGCGGCGGCGGCGCGTTTCGCATTTCCGGAATTTATATCGTCCGGCTATGGAGATTCAATTCGACCGGAGGATCGTAAATATCGGGATAATCGGGAGATCGTATCGTTCGCCGAGAGCCTTACGATTGTTATTTATCATATCAACGTTCCCTCTCGTGGCTGGTCGCTGAACGCGTGGGAACTGCGCGCGCGGCCGTCTCGTCGATTACACTTCGCGCGACAATTTCTATAACGGACGGACACCGGCGATCGAGAGATGAGGGATATGCGCATGTTAAACCGTTTAATTTGCTCGGAGGAAGAGGTATAGCGATATATATCGGTCCGGATGAGTACGAGCGCAACTGCTCCCTCCTGGTGGAAGTTTGCAAGGGAGACGTGTGGAAACGTCGCTTCGCGAGCTCCACGAGTACGTGCTGAAGCAGCGACAAATAAAAGATGAGTATCTTTTATGCTTTCCCACTCTGAGGATCGCAACGATCGCAACGATATCTCAAAAGTAACGCCATAAAATTGATTGCAAACGGATATCTGTACCCGTTTGTACGCAACAACGCGTGTCCGACGTGGCACGTCTGCATCTACTTATACTACTGAGAAAAAGTCTCGTTATAGTTAACGAATTGCATTTGGCCGGAGCGTTTCAATATTTTGGTAATTGGTATCAAATGCGGTAATAGTTACCGTCTGCTTGACAATAATCACGTAATAATTAGTGAAACGAATTCTTGAAGAGGTTGAAGAAAGTAAATTTTTCGGTAAGTCGAATTTCACGAAGAAGTTGTCTCAATTTCTTCTAAACGTGTGAGAAAAAACACGTAACAAAATTAATGACTTTTATTTTTAGCTTTGTCTTTTACACATCGAAAATTTATGAAAATTAATGAGGAAAATTTCCAAAAAGTTCCTCGTTGGAGAAAATTCATTCATAATTTGAGTGAGTTTGATCGAATCACCGGTCTCGCCAGCAAAGATTTTTCCCATGCTTTTACTAAGACATCACGCAATCATTTCCGTCGTCTACGCACGTATCTCAACACGTGTGTAGATCCAGACGGAAGCTTTTATTACGTTCTTTCTCTCGTAAGCATTTGCACGCGTCTACACTAAACTTTTACGCGCGTGAAACTGAACGCGAGAATGCGTTGGATATGTTGATTTTAGCGACGCTATTTCTCTCTCGTCGTTTCCCGTCCCCCTTTTTTTTCGGTCGTATTCAAATGAATATTGCAGTTACGTGGGAGGGCGGCTCGTATATAAAAGTGCGAGGGCTTGTTTGGGGCGACCGATAAATTACATCTGGCGTCGTAAAAAAAACTTTTACAAGCGCCAGCGTATCCTTACGCTTTGTCCTCTTCTTATTCTTGCCAGTAATCAACGTGATCGATAAGGAAACTTTCCTCTTCGGCTAATCAGTACTTTACTGTTATTTCGCGCATACGATACATGATAAGGTGCGCGTCTGTTTTGTGGATATAGTTTGATATCGGTCTGTTTCTCAGATACGCGTGTGTTTATATAACATCATTGCTTGTCAATAACATTATACCACATCGACAGTTTAGCCTTATATCTCACAATACCGTTTACCCCGTAATAAACAAGTCTTTGCGTAGAGATTATCGAGTTATTATCCATAACTCTTTTATATTCACAATTAGAATAGCTTATCCCCTATCTATGCTTTATTGGTGCTGTAAATAGCGCTGTAAACACAAAGGTGGCTGCGGGCTATCGCGAAAATTGAAACAAACGCGGCTATCTCGCTCCGTATAACGAATGTCAGTTGTCGCCTGTCACAGGCTCGCTTTATCGACAAAAAGTGTCACGAGGAGCCGACGATTTACGACCAAGATTGGTATCGGCGAAACAAATGGTATAACGGCAGACTGATTCGCGAGAAAGATTCGCCGCGGAGCCCGTAAATGTCCCCCGAGGTGGAAAATTCTAACTGATCTCGCTTAAATTTCAAGACTAATCTAACGATCCATTGCAACGCGAGCACGCTGAATTTCGGCGCCTCCGATAAAAAGTGGGGGCGCGGAGCCAGCGTCGGGGATTACCGCATAATAACACGGTAAATCGAGTGTCTTTTCACATTCCTTCGCAATTATTTTCTTCCTGACAATTGCGGCGTGCAAAAATTTATGTGACTATAAACTTAGGTTATACAGTAGCCTCGCAATTATATATATCATAATATTCTCTTTCTCTTTACAGTTGGAAAAAATAACACATACACAAGGTGAATCTCAGTTAAAGTGATATCTCAGGAACAAAGGATTTTAGAGAAAATGTTTCATACAAAAGTCTTGTGACTTCGAGGGGGACATAAGATGCTTTCATTGGTTTGATCTTGGATGCCGGCGGTAACTTCTAAGCCTCATAACTGGAAAAATACTTAATGAAAAAATATTTCATCATAGTATTTTGAAAAGTTCTCGAGGTAAGATGCAGGAATATGTAGTGAAAATGGGGATTTCCCTTTAAAAAATTATAGGTGACCTTCATGTGATCTTCAAACGACTATCCAAGGTGAAACCAATGACACCATCTTATGTATCCCTCGAATTCACGAAGCTTTTGCATAAAACATTTTTCCTGAAAATGCTTTGTTTCCGAGATATGAATTTGTAACATTTAAATTGACTCAACCTGTACAATAATACTTTATACATAGGATATCCTAAGATTATCGGGATAACTAACTAACTAATCGGACTAACTAACCATTCACAGTCATTCGTAGCAGTGCGTAGAACTGCTTATCTTTACTTCGTTGAAAATCGATACAATTTACTATTACGCATGCATTACGTGAAATAAAACTCTGCATCAGCAGAGTGTTGAGGTTCAACACTTACAATCTCGCGGTAAAATCCACCGACATCCAACCAGATCCAACGTCCAGCGAGATCCATCCACGAAATTCGTCGCTGCATAGTTCCCACGTTGATTTCCATTTCACCTCATTCACGACGCGTTTGATATTTATATCCGTAACGACGTTTTATTCAAACGACATTAACGAACGGCTTTAATTAATCTCGGGACGAAATTGACGAGTACGTTCAATAAATTCGCTTGACGAGTGTTTCTCGCGATACAATTCCGCGTGGGAGAAAATTGGTCTCAAATCAATGCTGGATATTCTCACACCGTAAGCAGGAATATCGCAATTTTCTCCGGAGATTTTTCTGAATTTTCTCGATTTGACTGAATTTCTATCGGTGCAAGTATTACTTGCACTCGATTCAGGACTAAAAGTCTTCTAAGAATATTATAATATAACAGGACTATTTTTTTCTGCGTGTCAATTTCTGTTCTTTGCAAATACACTCGCGAGAGACATATTCGCGAGAGAACTCCCGGTATAATTAATTTCTTCTCTTTGAGAATATATCCTCGAATTCCCGATTCGCGCGTAGAAAACTCGCGAATCGAAAATCGATCACGTTGATTGTAAAATCGTTCGTTACTGTATGCGAACGAAGTGTAGTCGCTGGTGGCGTGCGGATATTGGGCGCGATGGCTCCGCCATCGAAGAAACTAGCTTAGAGAGTTTAGCTCACTCCCCGTTACAGTTCCGCAATATTTTTGCGAAGTCTACTCCGCAATACTTTCGCGAAGTTCACGTGTCCTCCGGTGAAGTTCGACCGAATATAACTTGACGAAAAATCGCGAAAGGGAAAAAACGTGAAACGTCGCGGGACGAATGTGAGCACGGAAAATCGAAAACGGAAGATAGCGATAATTTTGATTTACCTCGAAACGAAAGCTATGAATTTAATCAACGAAGCACTAAATCAAGAGTCGCGCGTATTTGCTTAATAAATATATATCGCTGTATTACTAACTCTATCTCTTCGGAAACGCACTCGCGGCACGATAAATTACGCCGTTTCGGGAATATATACTCGCACGACTCGCGAACCGCGAGTAACAAATTACCGCGAGCTAAAAATAGTACGCACGGATCGCAGAAAAATCAATTTGTAAAATTGTTAAACCGGACTGCCACGCGATACTTCACCGAAGCTTATTTCGCGAAATTCCGACGAATTTTCCTCGACTAGATTCCCTTCTGCGAAACGTGATGGCAACGCGAATGCACGCGTAAGAAATTTAAGATACTAATGATGCTCACGAAATCCATCAACGCGAGCAAAATTGATAACGTATTCCGCAAATGATGGCGCAATTCCGACGCGCATAATAGCATACTGTCCAAAACAATTAGGGGATCGCGCACGGAGTGAATAATTCCGTTGAATAATTCCGTAAGCCGAACTAAATTTAGCATATAGCCGAACTATCACGGATTTATATAAATATATTTATATAGATATATTTACTAAAATTCAAAATTATGCACACTAATAGAGTTATTCGATAACACCGTCCGACAAAATTTTGACCTTTCTCGTTTCTCGAATGTGAATATTCGTTACCCATATATTTTTGCTTGTTAAACACGAATCCGATGACCAAATTTGACTATTGCGTCACAATTTCGAGAAAAAATGATGTCAAAGCGGTTAAGAACGACCTTGTGGGCTTTTATAACGTTGCAGCATCGGTAGACAGTTTTTTTCCAAATATCATTAATGCCACGTGAAAGCATCAACTTTTAGCTTTAAAATGCAATCTGTCTCGTTTTGGCACGATTTTTCGTTTTCGAGATACAACAATTTGAAAATAGCTTTATTCCCATTTAATATTTAGAAAAGGCATGTTATTCTATCTTAATATTGCATTGTGTGAGAAGTATTTGTCTATTTACATAATATAATCGGATTCTACTAAATAAAAGCAATATGAAATTGACAAAATATAGCAGGGAGATTATATAACTTTAAACAAAATCTTTTAAAGATGATTATTCTGTCATATTGCATTTTGGTCAATTTCATATTGCTTTTCTTATTTAGCATAATCTATTTATATTATATAAGTACAAAAATATTTACGTTTTACATAATGAAGAATTAAAATAGAATAAAATGTATTAGAAAAAGAACTATTTTCCAACACCCGTCACCTTGAATCCCATCACCTTGCAGTTTTCAAACCCATTTTTCTCACCGATCCGCTTCGAAGTCAGAGCCGGTCACGTTCCGCTTTCCATTCTATAACAGAAAGATATAACTTTGCCGATTAGATTTAAGAGTTCAGTTTAAGAAGCAAAGGTGCGTAGGCAAAACATGTTAACCCTTTGCTATAACAATTCTGCGATCATTGTTCCGACAACCATATTTCAGTTGTCGACCGGAGAGGTTTAAATTAAGAAATAAAGGGAATCGGTGAATTCACCTTCGAGCCGACCCTGCTTGGCACGTATTCTCCGATACTGCATCTCCCCGCATCCATGGGAACTACGGCTGGCTTCGATGCGATCGCAAACTCCGCCGGATCTTCAGATAATAATTTTCCCAATTAATATAGCGAGATAGAGGGGTTTCTCAGTTTCGAAACGAGAATAAGGAGATATTTGGCACATAAGTACGTGTCGGTCCACAATAAGGCTTAAAGTGGCTATTGTAGACCGACGCTACGGGGTTAAGCTAGGTTAGGTTAGGTTAGAGCCGCGTATTTCCCGTTTAAATTTGATAAGAACGAAATGCGATAGTTACCCTTGAAATTTCGGGATGCTCGCACATGCTCACGTTGATTCCAGTGATCGATAATCGTACATGCGAAGTATTACATGTTTGAATTATTCTCACACGAGTTCAAATCAATGTAGAAAAGTCGGAAAATAACGCGCGACTGCGCGCTCGGTGTCGCACCGAATTATAGTCTGACGTTCGTTACGATCTGAAGTTCGTCGCACACATACGCGCTGCCGTATCGACAGTCGCGCAACCTTCGACGCGCGGAGTCAAACTTGTGACCACCCCGTCACGCGATTCATTGTATCACTTATTTTTTTAACGTGCTCCGAGTTATAATGTTAATATTTTACACGCGCTGTATCGTAATCTTGTATTATTTATTTGATCTATGTTCCGACAGCGCTTATCGCATCTCTGTGCATTATGTATACGCGGATTATTAAAATCTTAGAACAACAGATTATTACAACCACAGTAAATAACTTCCTTAATTATTTATAATGACAGCATGTTCTCTCGACTTCGATCGAAACGAAAATAAAGTCGTATTTGGTAACGCGTAATGAAATCAGGCAGCTCTAATATCTTTATATATATATATATATATATATATAAAATAAAGAAAAGATAGAGAGAATATAAATTTCTCCTTTGTTCTCTCTTAATTTTTTCATGTTTATTTTATCATGGTTATTTTGTATTTTGTTATGTTGAAAATTTCGAGAGGATTTGGAGATTCAAGAGGGACGGAACGGAAAGAATTATTACTTACAAAAACAGCGGCTATGTTTCCAATGATGCTACCCAAAAATGGAAAATCTAAATTTAGATTTGAATAATAACGACTATAGCTACACCTTAAATAGTAATAATTTCAACCAGTGACGGAAAAATCTGTTGGCATATTCAAAATAAGAGTGACGGCCCAAGAATCATTATTAGACTCACGATCAATACACGCGAAATTTACATTAGTTTCTAAGGCAATTATTCATAACTGTAAATTATTTACAATCTTTGATTGTAAAAGCATAGTCTATTCATATTCGTCTATTTATAAACTGTTATTTGGCTGTTCGGATAAATATTTAACTTTACCTCGTGTAAGTCGTATTGTATAAAATAAATGCAAGTACATGTTGACCAACAATCTGAGATTCATAAAATTGTAACTATCAAGTTGTAATTGGCCAAACGATGACGGACCATAAATGTCGGTCTAAATTTGAACTCGGATATCTCCTTGTTCTTCTAAATTTTCCAAACGACAATAAAAATCGACAATCTGTCTAATAAATAACTTCACATACTTTTTTCATGACGAAATACAACCCGAGCCGAAAAGCCACGTACATTCGCGACGCGAAATATATGTGTATCGGTGCGTTATATATCATTACAATTCCCCTCGTGCAATTAAAATATTCCGTCGGCTCGTAATTGAATCGGATTCTCTCAGCATCTCGTTAATTAAAATGTGCTTCTTCGATCGAGTCATGTCTACATGACGTTTTCGGACTTCAACGGACATTTGACAAAACTCGAGAATGAAATAAAATAGCCCAAGTCAAAATTTCGGTTGACATTTCTCATAATCTATCATCATTCGATGAATAATTATAGTTCTATAGATTGCAAAGTGTTCATCGGCATGCATCTTATTTTATAAAAAAATATGAATTCAAACAACCAAATAACGATCCATACGTATGAATATGTAATTAATTATTCTCCATATCACAAAGATTATAAATAATTTATTATGTAATTATGAATATCGCTGCCTCCTCCTTGAAAACCTGTAAATCTCGCAAATCGTGCGTCTAATATTGATTTCTGCAAGATTTTTTATTTTATCAGTAAATAAACTTTGTGTGTTCTCCGACCGAGTATTTGATTTAATCATTTCCCTTTGAGTTCCATCGCTCATATCGCGTCTCTATAGAGACTGAACACGCTATTTTCGTTATTTTCTTTCGACAATATTTGCCACATCGAAGGGAGAATTGGTAAAAGTGAAAGTCATAATCGAAGAATGCCGCCAGCGTACGCGCACGTTGAAACGTACGGGATAATTGAAATCACTATCTTTTATCATCCACGTGTCCACCCACGCGTCACACCTGATCGATCGGGCTAATACGTTACACGGTGGAGCGCGTTTCCGAGTTACGCAATAACTGGTATCGGAAATCGATTTTCTCACGTGCTTAACGTACAGGCTTAAACGCGAAATCAATTTTGCCGTGCGCAATCCCGCACCGAAACACATGCTGTTTGTTCCAGACATCGTGGATTCAAATATCCCCCCTATTCATGAAAGGAAGATCCCCGTGTGCGTGTGTGTATGTGTGTGCAAAGAACATTGGAAATTGCAAATGAAGTTATGACATCGAACGTCTGCGTGAAACTTCCCGAACGAATAATCGAACGACCAGGTTTATTCGTAGACTGTTTCAACGATACATTCTGCCCGCAACTGACCGATACACTAGAACGTATCGTAAACGAAGTAAACAGGAAACAACAAAAAATTAACGAGCCCCAATAGGCGTGTCCACCGTTTAATGTGTAATCGTGAATCGCTTTCAGCTCGAGACTGAAATAAGTTATCTCACGGAACCATCGGTGGCGAAAAATTACCTGAGGCAGATCGAATCTATCTTGTTCGCATTAGGTAAATTATCGTGTACACCAACGGCCAGAAAACTTCAGATATTATCCGCGTTATTGAGAGAAACAACCGAAAATACGATATGTTGCGGCCAGATGCTGAAAGGTACTGTTCGAACAATATAGCGAAACTCTGCACACAATCTTGCTAACATAGAAGATTTTTCATCGAAAATTACGACGATGACGCTAGTTGAAAAAAATATATTTTTTTTCTAACTGCTTTGTTAGATTTCTAACTATTTCTTCGTTAATTTTCTAACTGCGTTACATATTCATAACTACTGGTCAGTATATTAAGACATATATAACATTAACTTTTTTTACGACAAAATTGCAAATGTCGCAAAAAAAGCCATTTCTTGCACATAAAACCCCAATTATTTTGGGAACCTGATTTGCCGGTAAGATTTAATCTACGGATCGTCATCAACGTCCGAAAATCTGTAATAAACGCATTGCCCGGTTGGAAGGTAATTTTAGGCTGTAAATTATAGTGTGATACTCGCGAACCTTTCGGGGCGTCATGAAATTCCCGCTGGTCGAGTTACATTTACGAACAGCGGGTCCCGTTAAAGCGACGCTTTAATCTAACAAATCGTACGTTAAAACTCGCCTGCTTAACGGCAGCGGGCAACGGAGCGCGAATAACGTGGATATTTATACCGTCTCTCGTGCAGCCGCGTAATCAAGTGATTACGCAATTAATGAAATCATGAACCGCCGAATAGGTCTTACGAAAGCACCGCTGCGCTATGCGCCGGAATTGTTTCGCCATCTCCATAAATAACGCAGCCCGCAACAACTATCTCTTTATTTATTTACCTTCATCGCGCTCGCTAACTCGCGGGAGATAACGTTCCCCCCGCGACGTTCCTCGCATAAAATTCTAATAATATCGCAGCACCGCTGGCGCGTATCCAGAACAGGACACTCTTAAATCTCGTGAGTAATTTTATTCGCGGATGGGGAGGAAGACCGTGCGGGACGCGACCTCGTCGTCCTGTAAAAACCCGCGGATTTTGCGGCGACGTGGCCATCGTCGGCGACGAAGCCCGGTTACGCACGGTATAAAGCGGAATTGTCAACGCGATGCTCTCCCCCTCTCCCACCGGCACGGAGATAGCTCAAAAGTATCCGTGATTCCTTCCAGGGGAGGAAATTATGTCGCGGTCAGGCGCGACGTCTTGATCGGTTATTCAACGAATGGATCGCGCTGCGTGGAACGCCGCAGGTAATTGCACTCGTTGATCCGCATCTCGTCTCTCTGACCGTGCTCTTTCGTCACCATTCTTTCCTCCTGGCCGCAGGAGGACGTCCCGTGCGACGCGAGCGAGATCGGAGAAGTTCCTCCGGGCATCCGAGCGCCGGCCGTCCGAACGGATCCACGTGAGACGATCGTCCGCGGAGATCTGCCGGAGTCGAATGGCGATCGTCCGCTCCGACGCGGCGAAACACCGGCGTCGGCAGGTGAAGCACGTAGCGACGCGGCAGGTAGAAAAAGCGCGCTGGCGGAAAGAATACGCGAGGAACGTGACAATAATCTGTATCGGCGCGAACGAGGCGAAGCCGAGGATAAGGACCGGTGGGATCGCCGCCCGGTTCAACGTGACGTGGAAGAAGAAGCGGACGGATCGCGGCCCGCGGCTGGGAAAAGCAGGCGGGAGAAGCGGACGGAAGAGCGTCGCGAGGAAGAACGCGGGAAGACGCGATCGCCGGATAACGGCGTAAGGCAGATCGGCCGATTGCGCCGGGCCGAGGAGGAGGGGATATCGGCGAGGAAGCCGGGCAAACGGGATAGGAAGGCGAGACGCGAGAAACGGGCAGATCTGCCGACTACCGCTCGTGGAGATAGGAGGAAAGTTAAAGAGGACGATCGGGAGGCGGAAGAAACGATCCCGAGTGAGAGGAAAACGACGGATTCGCCGGGCGAACGGGGGAGACTCCTCGCGAGGAAACGCGAAGACAGCGCGGAATACGACCGGGCGAAAAAATGGAGCGCCGGTGATCTCTTCGGTACGCGAGCTTTCCTCGGGGGCGAAACAATGTAACGGAGGAGGGAGGGACGGGCGGTTTTGCACGGGGGTGAGTCGAGTGGCCGAGCAGAGCGAGAAGTCACGGTAACGTCGGAATTATAAATCTACAGTATACGTAACATGAATATTGCTACGCGAACTGTAGATTTTCAGTATTTACGGTGAACATCGGAACGTAGGAGAAATGTAAATAGTTGAGCGTGGAGGTCTTTTAAGGCCGTCCTAGAACGCCCTGTAAGGAAATAATTGACGAATCGTAATGCAGTCACGAGAAAGTCAAATTATTGTTCTATTTAAGATATGAAATTACGTCACTTTAATTCTCTATGAATGATTACTCCCCGACGTCATCTTGATCTTTTTACACCGCTTAAAAAGGCTCGAGTGAAAGCAACGTAGAAGAATGATACGGTTGTATATTATTGTTGTTCGATAAGTTATTAGAAAAACAAAAAAAGTACTTGAGATTTTCCTTTGACTCGCCCTTGTGGTTTAATGGAAAGCTAAAGTTAGTGGTATTTCAAAGGCGCAAGACCGTTGATGGGGGTAGAAAATGGCTCGTTAAGGTTAACAGAAATCGTTTCTGGGCTCGATGTTGTACCGACGTGAAAATCGCGTTACCGTAGCGCATCGTGGAACGATACGGCGCGATCGATTTCCCGTTAGCCGATTTTTAGCTGCGGAAAATGCCTGTTTCGCAGACTCTTCGAACTCGATCAAATACCAATTATCGAACGCGCTCTTCGTGGAGCTCGGTTGGACCCTGTTGCCGATTACCAAAACCATGAGGAAGATCGTGCGGTACGAGGCCAGACCGGCGAAGCCGTATCTAGACTGGTACGTGATTTCCATAAATATCGGTAAAAGGACACCGCAAATGCGAAGCGTTTCGCAAACGTGCGAGACTCCTTCCTACGCGACCTTCTATTTGCGAAACAGCCGCAGCGCAACGAAGCGCACTTTACTCGCGCGCCGCACTGTAAAACCTTAATAACGCGAGTGAAAAAAAAATTTTTTAATCCACCACAAAATACGATTAACGATAAACGGAGGAGCTTAGCGAGGTGTCGTTATTGCGCCTGAAAGAGAGAGAGAGAGAGAGAGAGAGCATTAAATTGAAGCTGATGTCGCCGAAGTATCGTGTACCGCGCGAGATTACGCGCGGTATGATATTTTAATACGGACTTAACCTGATATAACAGATCAACTTGTATAATCCGGAAGACGATTACCTAACCGTAATCGCGTCAAATAAATTATCAGGTCGCGTGCTGAGCTAAGTATGCGGCTCCGTGAGAGCGGTTATTTCGAAGCGGGCCGAAGAGCGGCTAACATTACGTCACAACCGACTTCGTGCAAACTTCATGATTAGTTACTAACGAGTAAACAATTAGGTCGGGGAACAAAGTTAATGAGACGACGCCGCGAGCAAGCATTTTAATTCGCCGTGACGGCAGGACTCCAAAACTGTGCCCGATTCTATTCTATGAAAACAGAACGAGGATGATTACCGAGAGAGACGTACTTGGCGATTATAAAATATCCATCGTTTTGGGCAAAAAAAGAGGTGCAATTTTTGTAACTAGAACGACACCTGGTGCTTTTACTTTTAGCGAGAATTTGAGAAGATCCCGAAAAAAAAAGAAGAAATTCAATCGACCAACTACCTTAAGGTGTTAGTGTATATTGATTTCACCGTTTACTTTATCTAATAATAACTTTATCTGCGTCGTATCTGAAAAACACGCTTAAACATTGATAGATTTGAACCGAAGATCTCTGGATCGTGAACTCACCACCTCGTCGGTTAATATAAACGTCCCCGATATTGTCTGTTTATGGTATAACCAGAGAGAGAGAGAGAGAGAGAGAGAGAGAGATAGCTAACCAACCTTAGCTACTCATGCTAATAGCTTCGGCTAATGAAATTGTACCTCGCATAGGAAATACATTTTGTCTCTAACGGCGAACTTTTAGCAACGGGCGGCAAAGTTCAAACTGGCTAATGAGATTTAGCTGCTACTACCAAAGTCATCTCTCTGAGTGTGCAGGTTGAGAAGGCACAAGGGCACGGAGTACTACGACGACGGGTTGACGCCGTTCTTGAAATTCCATCCGGACGGCTCCGCCGGGCTGTTTTATCCCAACGGCGTGTTAGCCGTTCGAGTCCGCAGACCGGCGAACCGGGACTGTAATTAAGTTGCATTTACATAAAACGCGATTTATGCGCGCAACTTACCGGCGCCGTAGCGCCGAATCGGCAATAACAATCGCCGTCCCGCCGTCCCCGCGGCGCGCGGGATTAAATAAATCGCTGCTATCGATTTCAAGACGACATGTACACCGTGTTCACGCCAGGAGGCAGGGACGCGTTGGGAATCGAGAGGGGATCTCAGATCCTGGCGATATTCGACACGACCGGCCACGGCGTCGTTTTCGACGAGGACTGCGCGCCGAGGTTCGTTCGCACCGGGGAAAGAATTTACAAAGAATGTTTAATTACTGTCGGAGGAGGAAGTCGGCCATTCAGGATTTCTCCAATTACTTCTGCAGGCTGTCCTACAACCAGACCGGAGGAATTTTTACGGACAGTCCCGCGGGCCTGCCCCTCGTTTGGACTTGGAGCACCAAGCCGGACGAGTCGATACTCGAGGCCGTGTACACGGTGGGTGCGAATGTTCGCCGGGAGGGGGAGGATCCACCCTCCCTCTCCGCTTTCGCCTCGCATAGATTTTCGATCAATCATGAATGAACGAACGGAACTAAGACCTTTCATCTTCCTCTTCGACCTCTCCGCGGGTGGCAACTTTGTCTATCCTGTTTACGCGGAATCTTTCGAACTCAGATGCAACTCGTGAACATTCGCGCTAACGGTCTAAACGAACGTGTTGTTTACAAAGGGAAGAAGGACGAGTTGCGCGCCGTCGATGCATCTTTCGTGCGGGGGGAGACCGGATTAAAAGTCGCGCGGGTTGGTTGTCGCGAAACTTGTGCCTCGGTAAATAAATGAAGGAACGTATATCGTTCTCTGCAATGTAGGCTGCTCTGAGTTGGGTGTGCACGAAATAGCTCATGGCTAACGCACTGCGTGTAGATATTTATGAACACTTCTTTTGTTGAATCGGACGCGGTGGGTAAATTTTTTTTCCGGCTCTACTTTTATCGTCCCGCTGCCTTTCGAAATTGCTGGACGCAATTCGCCTGCATTCGTGAGAAATATCGTAGTTTCGGCCCATTTTCCCTGTATTCGGCCAACCGTTATCGCACAACTGTTTAGAAATGTTTAGAAATATAATTTCTCTTATTCTCGAAATAGCTGTGACGTAGCTTACGGATTAAGTTAAAGAGTTATGCCCGCGGGTGTAGAGATTTCAGGTAGATTTCAATCGTTCCCTCGATCGGCAACTTCTTCGGCTCGAAAGCGCTACTGAATAGCAGGCGAAAGTAAAACTGCATCTTGACTATGAACGTGATATTATGAACTTGAATAAAATACTAAAGAAAAAATAGAATAGAAACTATATTTCTTGTTCCCTCTATATATATGAAAGACATGCAACAACCAATCCGAGGGGTCAATTGTTCAATTCGCACGATGTTGCTTTGAGCTGACTAATTTTTTCACGCCTGAATACGTATAAAAGTACCATTTCTTTTCGAGCTAAAATTTGCAGCTACATAAAAATGTATATTAATATCATAAAATTGTATACATTTGTTTGATTTCGAACGTAAAAGGTGTGACTTTACGCACCGGTCTCCCTCTCCCGTCGTATTTCACGACGTGGTTGTTACGATCGTACATTGACGAATTGCGCGAAGTGCGAGCGCGACGAATAAATGATTTCCGCTTCGAAAACCGCAGGAAAGATCGGCCAGAGCCTTGCAAACGGAATTCTTTCCCGAATCGGCGAAAAGGTGAGTCGCTCTCGCGAATATGCACACGTTCATTACGTTCCGGTTACGTTTGGTTGGCTCCGCAGTTCCGGAAACGTTAAGACACCGATATCGCCGTCCAGCCCGGGAAACAAGAGAAAGAAGGTCGCGGAGGTGCAGAAACCTGTTGTCGAGGAACGACAAGAAGAGGTCGGCAGCAAGTATGTCGGGCAAAAAAGTAGAGCAAATTCTATCCGAACAAAACATTCTAATTACGCGACGTGCTCCCTTCCTGAATGTAAATCACGAGAATTGCGCGTTTTACCAAGCGTGTGTACAAAAGTTGGATATCATCCGAGATAAAATGAACACGCAACATACTTTTCTTGTACGCGTGTGAGTTATTACCGTGTTGAGATCTTCCAACAAATAGTTGGTATATAAATGACATGTTCTGTAATTATCATAATTAAACCAATTACCTACGCGTTTAGATCAAAGAGAGACTTTCCCGAAAAAGACATCTTTTACATAAGGATAATCTGCATGAAACTGAACGAATTTCTCGGCTTGCGAATTATCGATCGGAGGAACATCTCGTTGCGATTTTCTGCCAAAAATAAAAGTATCAGGTATTACCGATGGCCGTTCCAGTTACAAAAATTGCATCTCTCTTCTTTCAAAACAATTTTCTTTTCAAAACAATACATATTTTATAATACGTACGCCAAATATATCTCCCGCTAATCATTCTGTTTTCGCAGAATAGAATTGGGTACAATTTTGGACTTCGATAGAGAAGCATCGTCTTGTATGATTGAGGCGAGCGATTGGAAAAGTGACATGCTAAAGTAAAACGACACGTTACAAATTTTATACAATTTCTGATCAAATGTGACACGAAAGACATTTTCTCGTTTCCAGGTGCAGATTCCAGGATAAACTGTCCACGAGACTGGAATCCGACAGCAGTCTGTATGATTTAGCCAAAGAGTACCGAAAAGTGAGAAAGCTTGCGAAACAACGTAAAAGTATGATCGCCAAGTGCAAACCATTTTCCAGCAAGTCAAGCACCTTCGCGACATAAATCGCACGCGAAAATTTAATGATATCGCGAAAGAAATAAATGTTCAAGTTACGTGATTGAGAGAATATAAGAGACGGAACCATTAAAATTTCCTCCAGTCTCGCATAGTTGAAACACATATAAAGGACATGTAAAGGTAGTGATTGAAGAGAAAAGGAGCAACGCTGATTTATATAAATAAAAATGATCATGTAATTAAAATAATTCTCAAACAATTAATTAATGTTATTGTAATGAATGTCTCGCGAATACATTTCTCGCGCTGGTATAATAACGTTCGCGCGTTTTTTCCGCGCATTTGTGTGTGTGTGTGTGTGTGTGTGTCTGATGTCATGCGTGTACGTGTCAATGAGTAACAACGTGTTTTTCTAGTGTATGCGTATGCACGTGTACGCGTGTGTGTAAATGTGTGGGTGTGCTTAAGACACATACGTAAAACATATCCCCAATTGCCGGGAATATTCCTCGAGGGATACCTTAAGTACTAAGCGAAGTAAAGTAAGGGGAGGGTAATGTCGCGCAATTTCGATCAATAAGTTAAGGTTAGATCGATCAGGATGGGGGGACGTGAAGTTAGAAAAGAGGATAGGAAGAAAGAGAGAAAAAGAGAGAGAGAGAGAGAGAGAGAAAGAGAGGGGGAAAAAAAGAGAAGAGAGATAATAAATATAGAGTCTTCTCGTTGAATCTTAAGCGGCTCGGCGAGGGTCCCTTGAGCGAGGCGGATCCTTCGTCCTGAATTCAACAACTCCTAGAGAACAAGCGTTGCACTTCGACGACGACGACTACTGCCGATCTCGAGGTGTGAACGTGTCCCACCGTGGCGAGCGTTCGCCAGCTCGCCGAATCGCTCGAGATCTCGGCAAGCGAAACCGGTGCGAAACACACCAATCGGGCGCCGATAGTCACGAACCTAAGAATTTCGGGACGGAGTGTAAAGTGAACTTTTCCCGGCAAGGGGGTCGGCTAATTCACGGTGAGGGGTGTGTAAAAGCGCGCTCTCCTTTTTTTATTCGCCGATCGTCTCCTTCCACCGTGGAACACCGTCGACTTTTCCCAACGAACGTAACCGGAAGCTCGCAAGTGGTATACAGTCTGTAGCGTGACAGTTTCTCGAAGACGCTGAAGAGGATCGTATTTTTCGACCGTCGAATTCATCGTTTCGTTGAATCTTATCTCAAGAAGTTCTGCACCAACTTTTTTCACGTACAGAAATCCCTGTACAAACCCTCCTCTTCCCCCCCTCCCCCTTACCGCGGATTAGCCTTACCGGGTCCGCCTTACACGCCGTCCGTAGATTCTTAGGTCCACGGATGAGATACGAGAAGGCGAAGAGGAACGCTCGCTCAAGTATGCGCGACGCGTGTATAAATAATTGCGTGGTGACCGGGAGAGACAAGCGGGCGTCCTGAAGGGCCGTCTGACTACTACCCGCGGCTTATTTACAATGCCCTCCGAGACTACTCTTCTGGCGGTCGCGCCGATCGATCGCTCGTCCGCTTCCAAGCCCGGGCGCTCGACGTAATCGGCGATTACGTCGATCGCCGGCCGGGCATGATGAGACGAGGCGATCGCCGCACGCTCGGATATCCGCGGATCTGTGACGCGCATTCCGCCGACCGCGATCCACCAGCGAGACTCGCGCGCACCCTCGGTTCCTCGTCCGATCCTGCGCGCATCTCGAGTCGAAATCTCAGTTCCACTCCTTAAGACCGGTACTCGCAGTCGGAGCTTAGATTCAAGAGCGTCCTCGTCTTCGGACGCTTCGCATGCCGGTGAAAGCGAGACGTGCAGCATCTGAAGATGAGACGGTCTTGTATGTACAGGACGTCCCTGTTCTCGCGACCTGAATTTTATTAGAGAGATTCTCTGAACAGTTCAGAGTTGGTATTCCTTTGACGAAAATCTACCGAGGTAGGCCATTATTTATGACAGCTTCTCAGTCTTCGGCGTATCTTTTAACCGACGTCTCGAATTAAAATCCCGTTACCTTCAGGCCCGCTTGAAATCAATCGGAGATTGATAATAATTCCGCTGTTCCGTTTGGTCGCCCGAAGCGTAATTCGCGAAAAGCTCCGCTTTCTTCAATCGCAATCTCGGAAACTATTCGCGCCTCGACCGATCCCCGGTCGGGCAAAATCAGCTTGAAGTTGCTCGGAGAACCTCTCGGTGAAATTAAAGTCGCGAGAACCGGAACATCCCGTGTTAGATCCTACTATGAATATCGACTTAAGTTTTTAAGTGGAAAATACGGAAATAACTAGTAATAATCACGCTTCCCTTGACGCTACAAAGGAAATTCGGAGGGAAAATTTGTCATTCCACATTAAGTCTTCAAGGGAAAAAAATCCGCTCGCATAAGCCAGAATGGGAGCGACCGGATGCGCTCTAGTTGAAGGGAACAGAATTTCTTATGAATTTCAAACGTGCCTTACGTAACCAGAAATCCCGTTCCCTTCGGGCAAAATGCATCCGATCGTTCCCTTCCTCTTCGAGTCGGCGCAACCAAACTTTCTTTTTTCCGCGTGGGGAAAACGGAAAATAACCATTTGTAGCGTGAAAGGGCAGCGCAGTAGAAGAACCTTTGAAGACTTTTGAAGACGTAGAACTGAATGGGCTTAACGCGGAACTGAAATTTCGAGTCGGGACGCGGGCGCGCCGATCGATGACGACGATGAGGAAGAAGAGCCGATCTCCCGATCGCGGAACGGAGCCGGTGGAAGGCGTCCCTCTCGGCGTTCTCATTCCTTCGTAACCTTCCTCTCTCCTCCGTTCTTCCGCTTCCGCTCCGTGAAATCGAAAGCTCCCGGGCCTCTTATTTACACCGCCGCTCGAGAGAAGAGCCCCCACCCCCCCTTGAATTTCAATATCGATCTAGTCGTTGTCTCGACGTTGACTCGACGAGCGCGATTGACGATCTCGACTAGACTAGACACGAGGGCACCGGTCACGAGGAGAGGAGGGGAGAGAAACGCGACTTCCGACGGGGGAGAATCTCCGGCGCGTGTCTCGAGTTTCGGATGAAGCGGCGGTCCCGAAGCATGCCCGTCGTCGACGATCCTCCGCTGGCGGGGGATCGTCTCTCTCTTCCTCCTCCGCCGCGGTGAGTCCTTTCTCTTTTGATTTTGCGCGCCGCGCGCACTTCTCAATTGGCGACCTTGACGAATTCGGGATTCGCCACGTTGCAGTTCTCCGTTGCGTACGCCGGATGCACGAAGCTGCCGCCGCCGGCGGCGGCGCCGCCGAGCGCTACGTTCTTGCGGTCGACGGCGCGCACCCTGACGAAGAGGAAGGCCGCGACTAGGGAGGCCACCACGACCACCAGCAGCAGCATCACCAGGCCGCCCACGAAGCCCGGCAAGCTCATGCAGATCGTCTCCGGGTCGGAGGACGCGCTCGCGTTCTGTATCACCACGGTGCTGTCGTTGCTGGAATTGCTCGTGCCCAGCGCGAAGTTCACGTCGCCCGGCGCCACGACTTGGATCACCCGCGACGTATTCACGTCCGTCATCTCCTGCGCCGCTCGCTTGTACACGTGGGTGGAGAACAGGGTCACCGTGCGATGGACGTTCTGAAAATCGAGGATAACCGTTGCCAGGCCCCGTCGAGAAATTCGCGCGTGCCAGGATACCGAACGGTACCGCGGAACGCGTCATTGATAATGCATTCATGGTGAATTAGATTGCGCATTGTGCTGTTAGACCGAGGATAAGGCAGCGTTTTACGCTTTGATACTCGATGTATAATGAATGATCGTATCTTAAAGACTCTATTAAGCCGACTGCACACGTCGCTCGCTCGCTTCTCCCCGGAGAGAACGTCTCGAAACTGAGGCTGCGTCCCGATACCTCACTGCCGGTACTGAAAATCTATAACGACGTGATGAGGGTGAAATGACCGACCTTAAAGCCTGTCGATTTTTCCTCATTTTCGTAATGACGGACAAATGATCGGTCTTCTTCTTTTTTTTTTTGTAGTTAAAACTTCGCCTATCACTTGTATAGACTGAAAAACTTGTAAATACATTTGAATTTCCTTTGTTTTGAATTTTTCAAGACCCGTCAATTCCGTTATATGCGAGTAAAATGACGAAAGTGAAGAATTAATCGTTTTATGCACGCAAAACTTAACGTTCACAGCGTTTTTTATATTATTTTGTTATTTCAATGTCTGTACGACCCGGTAAAATACAATGAAATTAAGAATATTATTTGTAAACAAACAAATATGATTTGTCACAGTGTAACTTAAACGAATAAATCTAGATAAGAACAGAAATGGAAACAGTTATTTATAACCGTGCGCGGTAAAAAGTTTCGTGCGAATGACGTGCTGAAATTTCTGTGTTTCTTTAACAAGGTGAGTATGTTAAAAAGTAATACGTTGACAAGATGAATATATGTCAATTTCATATATATTCGTATACTTTTAACACACTCCTGTTAAAGTAATACAAGAATCTCAGCTGTTATTTATCCCAAATGTTCACTTGGAACAATTGACAAATCGTCATCTCACCTTACTATCTCCCACCGCGGAACAAAACGAACCGTCGACTTTCAGTACTGGCGGTGAATATCACATCCTAAATCTGAAGTCTCGATTCGAAGTCCTTCGCGTCACTTTGACTTCGATCGACGGTAATGTATATTAATGGGAGCGCCGAAATAGGTTAAAGCACTTACGCTATCGTCCTCTTCGAAGTGGGCCTCGTCGTGCCTCCGCCTTCTGGCGCCTCTGAGCTCCGCCGGGAAACCTTCGACCGACCTCGGTCGACCTCCGAGGATGGCCAGGTTACCCTCGAGCTCCTCCGTGCCGGCGTTTCCTTTTCGCTTCACAGTCTGGTACGCCGACGGGTGGCCCGGTAGAGGAGGTGGAGGAAGGAGGCTATCCTGAGAACTCTGGGGTGAACTGCTCGCCGTCGCGTCGCCCGGCGTCGAGCTGGGTGAAGAGGACGAGGTTTGCGCTTGCGGTGCCGGAACTACGTCCGGATTCGGCTCGCTGCGGGCAGAAATTAATTTCGGTATTTCGTGACGCGACGATCTTCGCAAATCCGCCCGCTTCAGCTCGGATTATTTGCCCTCGAGTAATTTAACATTTATATTCCCTAATAGAAATTCAACCTCGTGAGTGGTAAATTAGCCACGAGGTAATAAATTTGCGTCTAACGCGACGCTCGCTTCTAGCAGTTGGATAATTGCTGAACAAGTGAATTAACTGACGGTCAAACAGAAGAAATTACAGTTGCGGGACAGAAAGTCACACGGCTTGTTGGCGAGCGCCTAACGCTGGTAACGCTCCACTCACTTCTGCCGTTTTCAGATTTTTACGGAATAACGTACTCTCAATTTTCATGCGCTACTTCATCTTTAAATGAGGTTAGTAACGGGCATGCAGTGGTTGGATTATATATTTTAGACGGCGCTCTCCACTCTATCATATTTGATACGCCGTAGCCAACAGTCAGGCCGCAAAACCACCGTTTTAGTGAATTAATCAGCCAGTAACGAACTGGTAACAAGCTAGAAAGCTTAATCGAGCCTATACTAATTAGTTATTGATTTTTAACTCAGGCCGACTAGATATGCCACATATACTCGGGTTTATATTTCAATATACCCGATATAAACCGTATATTTGTCACTTATATAATGAATATTTCGATGATCGAGTGTCCGATTTCTCAGGAAAGTCAACACAATGATGATCGCGGTCGGCACACAAATTTCCATCCCCAAGGCAGCGCCCGATCTTGCAATCCTCCTTCGCTCCTTTCGAACGACGCTTCACGGAAGAGCTTTCTTCGAGCAGTAATTACAGAGTCGGTGCTCATAGGCTTTCTCACCTGTACGCTCCAGCTGGCCCACTGGGATGTCGCGGATCAGGATAAGCCGGTGGCACGCCGTATTCGGGCACAGGCGGGGCACCGTATTCCGAAGCAAGACCTTGCGAGACCGGTGCGCCATATTCGTGAGAGATACCGGCCGGCGCGCCGTACTCGAGTCCAGGATGTCCACACTTAGGCTCGGGGCAATTATGCCGGCAGACTTGTATCACGCACTGGAAGTGGACGTTCATGCTGTCGGGGAACTTGAAGGCCTGGAAGTAGGCGAAACTAACGACGGACGCGCTCGGGCCGAAGTTCTTGATCTTCTGGAACCTGCGGAAACAAGTGGAGCTTCGTACTTCCCCTGGTCCCTTAAAACCCACATCCGGCGCGCTGATGTATCTTTTATACATAAAGGTAGGCAATAACTACTGTCATTCTGAATATCCTCGAAATCTGAGAGTAAGAGGAAGATTGATCCAAGAGAAATCACATTACGCCAGTGGCCGTCGTTTCGAACGTCTCCTGTGAATACGAATTTTCCATCCTCATCTGATCGTTGATAATCGTTAACAAAATACTTGCCCTTTCCGAAGGTAATCAAGGTGACGATAGTTATTGCCTCATCTTGTGTATTACCAAATACCAAGATCGGGGCAATGAATAATTATTCAGTCAAAAGTTAGATGAAAGAGTCGGTAGCCTTTAACTTAGCGTAAAAATTGCAATTAATTAATTTACTATACATTTATTGCTCACTATTATATAAATTAAGTGAAAAATCAAGATTAACTTACCCCGCCAAATACGATTGACTTCATGCGTTATTATTGATCTTTCGCGCGAGTACGGTGCATTGAAACCCACCTGGACATGATCTTCGGCCTGACGACGCAACCGTACTGATCGACCAGCTGAATAGGCGCCCTCTTGCCGTCATGCGCGACGCAGTTCCTCACCAGCATGTCGAACTTGTTCTCGTCGTCCTTGATAGCCAACACCATCGTCATGGTCTGCCCGATCCTGACGATGCCGGACACCTCGCTGGCCCAGGGGCCCTTGCCCACCTGTATCTGCATCCAACACTGCAGATTGTCGCCGAGGAAGTTCGCGGTGACCGCGTGCAGCATGTCGACCTGGAACGGCCTGAAGGTCACCGCCTTCTCGTAGAAGTCGTACCAGGTGCAGCGCAGCTTCCTCGCCTGGTCCCACACTTCCTGCACGTACGGATCGTACTGCACGATTATCGTGTTCTCGACGTAGCTGCCGGACGGCGAGGGCGAGCCGTACGCCGCGACGTTGTGATTCGCCGACGAGCTCATGCCGCACGAGTTCAGGAAGATCTCGAAGGTCGCGCTCAGATGGCCGGTGCCGGGCTTCAGGTGCACGCAGTGCGAGTCCGAGTAGAAGCCCTTGCTGAAGATCATGCCGTAGAACGGCCGGTCGAACTCGATGTTCACGCGCATGTGCGTCTTCTCGCACTGCACCTGCAGATTCTTGATCTGCGGGGTGTCGGGCGTCGCCAGCGGCCAGTTCTCCTCGGGGACGACCGGCGGGCCATACTGGGCCGGTGCACCGTACACCGACCTGTGTTCCAGGGGCAGCGCGCTGCTGTCCAACGGCGCCTCGCTCCTCACACCCTGTGACAACGGAAACAACGTGGGACTCAGCGATCGGCGAGCGGAGGTGGCCGTGAAGACGACGGGCCCAGGTCGAGAAAGGCACAGGCAGGAGAGGCGAAGGTGGGATTAATCGCGGATCACCTCGCCGTAAGTTGAAACGCGTGCCGCTCGTTATCTCCCCGCATCGGGGATACGTCGGTCGATTCGAGCTCTCGAAACTTTTTCAATTTACCTACGAGGCAGCAGGGCTACAGCGCGAAGCGGACGCGAGCCGACTTTGACGAGGAACTTTCCGCTGTTGTCGCAGGCACGAGGCAGCAGCAATTTTCAACGCACCTTCCCCCCCCCCCCTCCTCCCTGGATNCCCCCCCCCCCTCCTCCCTGGATCGCGCCCGTTTCCGCGAGAAACCGTCTTGCGGTTATTTTGGTAGAGCCAAGTTTTAACAGAGTTGCATTAAACGTGACAAGAGCGACTCTTGCCCTCTCTTTCTCTCCCTTTCGGCCTTTCTCGCCCTCTCTTCCTCGACCTTTCCCCGTCAACCCTCGACTCTTTCCTTTGGCCGACTCCCCGCGAGCGGCACGCTTCCACTGGAAGCTCCGGTCCTCCTGGAATTACAATGAATGACGGCTTCCAGCGCGCCCCCCCCCCGTCGTCGCCCTCCCTCTCGTCGTCGCACTCTTCACTCCGACTGGCACGTAGTGGAAGCGAGCGAGGTGTATTAGGAATTCCGCAAATGTCGTCGGCCGTTGCGACCTTTCACGGAATGCCAATCGAACACGGTTTACGGTGCTCGAGATTCCATAGAATCACGGAGAGGAAGCACCTCCGACCTTGAGGAAGACGCTTCTGAACCCTACCCTACCCTTAAACCTCGCGACCGCATCGTCGCGAGGACGACGCGCAGACAGGCTCTCGGTGTACGAGACACGTACACGGAGGAAGGAAACTTTGCTGGAACAGCAAATGTTTGTCGATACAGTGACAGCGAGGGAAACATTTTGTCCACGCGGCAAAAAAAATTGTTGGGACGGCAGAAAGATGTTTGTCAAGAGTATTAATTGTCCATATGCCCAGCGAATATCGATTAATACTGTCAACAGATCTTTCCGCTGTCCAAACAAATTTGTCCCTGCTGTCGCTACACCGACCAACATTCGCCGGAACAACAAATGTTTGTCGATACAGCGACAGCGAGAGAAGAATTTTGCCCACGCAGCAAAAAAATCGCTGGCACGGCGGAAAGATTTGTTAAGAGTATTAATCGTCCATCTGTCCAGCGAATATCGATTAATACTGTCAACAGATCTTTCCGCTGTCCAAACAAATGTTGTGCCGTCCAAACAAATTTCTCCCTGCTGACTACGCCGACAAACATTTGCTGTTCCAGCAAAATTCGTTTTCTCCGCGCACTGAGCCCCCCGTGTAACTCCCCGCGCTACTATTCGTGTCCCGTTAAAGTGAAGAGGTGCGGAGAGGAATTTCCATCTTCCTCCGTCCGCTTAATTTCGACAGGTGCATTTGTTCCTCATCAAGCGGCGCGAGATCGCACGAAGTCCGAGATCATTAAGCGAGTCGAGTTATAATGTAAATCCGCAAAAATCCCGTCTCCTCTCTCGCGCTTCTTTTTCCTCTTTCACGACGTTCTCCTTTGACCGCCGACGGCCCACTACAGACGCGCGTGTTAGCCGGGTCGGGATGATTAATTAACATTAACCGCCGCGACACCGTGGCGGGGAAGCTTTTCTCCTCGAACAGCAGCCGTTCCGGCCGCCGACGCGATGCCGTTCCGCGCGCGCCGGAATACAAATCGAACGGTGTCGACGCCTTTGTAACGGCAGGTACCGTATGTTAATGTATGCTCGGAAATATGCCCGGCAAAAAACGAGTGACCGAAAACGCGAAGGGGATACTGTTAGCCGGGCAAAGCAACATTGTCGGGAGGATCGAATCACGCGGGCGTGCCGACGAGTCTCGGCCCCCCTCCCGGGCTATTCTCCATTCTAATTCGGTAGAAACCGCAGGAACGTAATTACACGAATCTACGTAGCGAAACAATGTCTTCACTTCCGCCGGGAGATCGTGCTAAGTGCAATTTTCCTAACCCGTAGTACCGGCGCGTATCTATCGTATTCTTTCGTGCTTTCCCCAATTTGACACGCGGCTCTAAACACACACCGGCGCTTCGTCATTACCTCGGTGCCTGTCCGCGAATATCTCGCGCGGGCGTCGCATTTCACATTTGATTCCGTTGCGCAAATCTCGCGACGGGACGGATAAACGCGCGATTAATGTAACGACGAGCGGAGATCACGAGCGTAAATTCAGCAAATCGGATAGTACGAGGCGTCCTGTGAAATTAGATCGACAAACTTTGCGTGTTGATTTAAAGGGCACCGAAACAAGTTCTCGCCATGAATATGAGCCGTTTTGGCGCTAGAGCGAACTATTTAGCAGCAGTTGTAATGCAAAATTTTGCCATTTACTTCGATACGGAGATATCGGCAATTTTTTCCCCGGCCTCGGTTTTCATTGCTATCTTTTGATTAAGAAAGTACATTAATAAAAACTGCTTTATCAAGCTGAAGATTCCAAACGGGCAGAATCAGTATTGTTTATTATCAACTCGCGATCTCTCAGTATCACAACGTTTCTTCATCGTTCGTTTTCGAAATGGAAATTTTTTCTTTCGCTGAACTGACCGATACGCGTCTTATGCGTGGGAAAGCTAAACGTAGACGTCACCGACACTTCGAACGGCTGCTGCAAACAAAATTTACTCCAGCGCGCAGTAAAAAATTTTTTGTGCAAATAACGATCTACTGAAATTCTCTACTTTAACAAGATGAATATGCTAATGTAACATTCGTGTACTTTTTAACATATTCCCATGTTAAAGTGGCACTAAAATTTCAGTAGACCTTCGCTCATACGAAATTTGTTACTGTACGTGAAAACGGCTCATTTGCGAAAATGGATTGATTAACGGAAATGATTTACTTCGGTGTCCTTTATAAGCGTCCGAAGTTCGCCGGCTCAATTTCCAGACACCATGTGTTTGCCTGTAATTAACAAGACGGCACGCATCATTGTGCCGCCGATGAAGTGAGGAAACGGTGGGAGGCGAGGGACAATGCAGCGCAGACATAACTGTATAAAACTAGAGCGTCGTGTGCCAATTGCGGGAGTTTACATTATGAAGTAATTGCGGCAACACCGAGAGCATTCGCACCGCGATGCGCTTATGCGTAATCGCAAATTAAACGCTGATACACCCGTTACATGTATAGGAAAACGCACGATGTACTCACATCGGTAATTACTCTGGCAAACGCCTCATAATCGTCGCACGATTCCCGAGTCGAGATTTTGATGCTACTCCGACGCTCTTAAGGATAGTTTGCGTCTACTTAGGCCAATAAAAACCCACTTTGACGATATTGATACTTTTCAACTTCTCTTTGGAACCTTTAATTCCACAGATTGAATTTTATCAGGGCCAAAGTAGGGGTTATATTATATTATTGGAATTGAAATTGAACCGATTTTACTATCTTAGCTCCTACCATGTGTCGTAGAATCCAAGGTTTAACGTAGGACCAAAATTTCGACTCGGGTTATGGAAGAGACGTCTCCGATCTCCCGGACTGGAAGAAAAATCTCATTCACTTTGTGCCTCCTCCGATGAATTTTCTTACTCACTCGTCCCGATAATACGGTCATAGAGAACTTCCTGGAAAACCTACAGGTTGTCATTTACGCGCGCTGTAATTTCGAGAATGCGGAGAAGCAAGGCAGAAGTAAACGGCGGGGAGGAGGGGGGAAGCGGCATCGCGTTAATCGTCGGGACAGTACCAGTCGTGACAGCCGGATGACAGTGGCGATTCACGATCACCAGGGAGCAACAGTTTGTAACTGGGCAGGTCGTCGGACGCATACCTGTCCGCTTTCTTGTTCTACTTGCATCTGCACCTGATCGGGCCGGCTTTCCGGATAGGAAAATACGGCGAAACCGGTCGGCGCGTATAACGAAATCACGATCCGCTACGATCGCAGGAAGCTTAATAAGCGCGCAACCGGTCCGCCGAATTTCTAGTGCAGGTATGCGGTAATGATATGAAGACTGGGAGATACTGAGGGATAACAAGAGAAAATGGAAACGGCCAATTTGTCAATTGGACTTCCTCTGAGAATCAGAGCAAAAATCAGCTCTTCCTGAATTACTATTTCCACCTTATCAAAATTTCGCTTCATCTTATTTTGCATTTAATTACACTCTCTCAACGCGCCGTAATAATCCCCAATACATATTACGTAAGCGACTTATAAGAGCGATTACGAGATTTGCATGAGTCATTAAATGTCACTCCCTTGAATCTAATGGTTGGAGAAAAACAATTGAAATAATTTCACGACGAATCGGTAACCTTGAAATCAAATCAAATTTTTTTAACAAGTCGCTGACTTCAATAGAAGTGTCTTCACCTTGACTAGTTTACTTGAAAAAGACGTGTATTTATAATCCGTCAAAATAAATTATAACAATCTAATTACAAAACAGAAGGAAAATTATGTCAATTTAATTTGAACGAAAAAAAGGAATGTTAATTATACTATAAAAATTAAAATAAATGAGAATGAAATAATATATATTATTATAATGAAATAAATAGAGAGAAATAGAAAAGAACAAAATCCAAAATGCAGACATCGTATGATAAATTCTCGAGAATATTCAAGGATTGAGGATTATTACAATTTTCATTAATGAAGAAGAAAAGGATTTGAAGAATAAATTCCTCTTTGAGAGGAAACGATTAAATTCAAGTCTAATCTGCATTTTTTTTCCGCAGAAGAAGAACACGTGAACGAGAAACGCTACGGTTGAAGGACGCGCCATGTTCGCCGCAGAAGACAAGCTGATTTCACTTTTCCATTGTCATCCGCTAGACGACGAATTGTTCGCGACCGGACAAGGTACTTTCACCGAATCGCATGTGCAGAACGAGCGTCTTAATTG